AGCGCGGGGCAGCGCCGGTTTCTCTGCCATTGCAGTACGGGCTGTGGAGGCATTGTACCGCCCTTTGGCCCCCTTGGCAAAGTTGCGCAGTGTGACTTAGGTGAAGGGGATTGAATGTTGCTGTCCAGCTTCTGTGGAAAATTAACCCTGTCCCGGCTGAACCCAGGACATCAGGTCTAAACTCCTTACGTGTGAAGTACAGAACAAATATGAATCTGAAACCCACGTCTTGCAGGGAGCCTGTAATTAGTTTTCCACAAGCTTTCGTAGAAGGGACAGACATAAGAATATTTTGAAACAATAAAACCAATGTTTATAATATTTTTTCAGTAGTTGTCTAGTTGGAATGGAATGTCTAAAGATAGCTCAGGTGCTTTCCTAGTCTAGTATTAACATTTATGTGAGGGTCCGTGTGTTTCAGTATAATGCAGTCTAATTGTTCTTGGATGCAGTTTATAATAAGGCAGTTATGGTTGTTACCTCCACAGTCATAAGAAAATCTTATCTTGCATAACAGCCCTGAATACAGAAATTAGAAAAAAATAACTTTCCTCTTTCTTTCAGTTTTTCAGCCGTGGGCCAAATGTGCTGCATCAAGACCTCAGTGCACCACAAGCTGCATTCTTTTCACCTCTTCAGAAAGTGATGTTGCCACCAAATGCCTTTCAAGGGAAAGTGGCCTTTATAACTGGTGGAGGTACTGGGATTGGCAAAGCGATGACAACAACTTTGTCCAGTTTAGGTGCCACATGTGTTATAGCAAGCCGGTAAATACTAATGAAGATGTTTTAGAACTTTTAATTTCCTGCTAAATGCTAAATGTCCTACTAAAGATCTGTTTTCTTCTTCAGAAATGGATACATTTATTCTATTTACTCTATTACAGTACACTTTTAAAATTATAATGTCATATTGTAAATACCAGAAACTTGCAGATCCATTTAGTAAGTGTCTAATTGTACAACCAGCAGTAGGAAGAAATAAACTAAATGCATTTCCATGAAGTGCAGCAGCAAAATAACCCAGAAGATTAGACAGAAATTCAACTAAAGCCTAAAAGAGAACACAAAATTGAAATGGCAATTGTTGGTCATTTTGAATGTATTATTGCAGGTGTTGTTGATGCAGATTTGAATTGCAGTAAAGAATTAAAGCTGTTCTTAATTCTTGTGACTTTAGAAGCAGCCCTGGTTTTCCCTTAACTAAGATCTCACACAGTTCTTGTAAGTAGCACTACAGTAAAGACTAGAAAAACAATCTAATTTTTAGAAGTAAACAAAACTGTTGTGACATTCATCCGAATAATGGTTGAGATATTTAGTTTTAAGTCAGAATATATGTGTCCCTTTTAAAATACTAGTAGAATAGTAGATAAAACTGTTTGTTATTATATACTTGTAATGAAAACATTTTTCTAACTTACCATGTTTGATTAGCTTAAGATCGCCTCTACTGTAGTCACTTCTGAGTTGCTTTTGAAGTAGCAGTAACCAGAAATTACTTAGATTTAAATAATTTTCTTTCAGAAAGTTAGCGACTAAATACAGTTTTTATCTTGAGGCTCAGTTTTCGTGGAAATCAGCAATACGCTTGCACACACAAATTGTATTCTAAGGTTTAGCTTGTATTTACTCAGAAAAAATTACCATATTTTATTAATCTGAATTGTTATTGCATTTAATTGAAATGTAGTGATATTGTATACTTATTTCTAGGAAGCTTGATGTTTTGAAAGGAACAGCAGAAGAAATTTCTTCTAAAACGGGGAATAAGGTAGATTTTTACAGAATTGTAGATATGCATTTGTGTGCTTTTGTGGGCTTGTTTGATTTATGAGTGGTATGGTTTTGAAGTCTTAACAGCTGCCTTTCCCTTATTATATAGGTTCTTGCCATCCAGTGTGATGTGAGAGATCCAGTTTCAGTTAAGAATGCTGTTGCTGAACTAATCCAAGTGGTGGGACATCCTAATGTAAGTGTTCTAGTGAAAGGAAAGAACTTCAGTCTTCATTACTGAAAATACTTTACATAGTAGGTATGAAGAAAATGACTATGAGAGAAAGTTAATGGAATATAAAGAGATGGGACAAAAAGTGGCCTTAGTTCAAGCTGAAGCTAACATTCACAGTTACGCTGTTCCAATGGTTCTTAAAATACTTAGCGGCCAAATAGATAAAACATTGTTGTCCTTACTCTAACAGTTTGCTTGCAAACAGTGGGACAATTATGATGGGATTTTTTTAATTAAGTGAACAGAATATTGCCCTTAAATCCTCCTGAAAAGATGACTTAGATCTGTGTTGGTACAACACCTGCTGCTTATTAACAGAATCTTTCACAAATTAGAAATGGAAGTAATCATAAATGTCTTCTTTGCTTAGCTTATTAAAATACACAAGCTTCCGACTTGAAAACTAAGTTCTCATAAAAATCAAGAAAAAAAATCTCCAGTCAAGCTAAGCATCTGTTTTTTAAAAGTTTGGCACAAAACGTAGAGAGCTCTCTACATCAGATTGTTGCTTTGAGGAGGGTGGTCTGGTAGAGTCACAGCAATGATAGGTACCAAACTGTGATTTTATCGTGAGAGAAACAACTCAGATTCTGCTAGCTGATACAAAGTGTGATGAGGGTGTTAACATCAATGTGAAGGACAGTCACTGAGGTTTAAACTGTTTAGATTTAAAACTGTCATCTCTGTATTGAAGACCCTTTGCGTTCAGCAATAGCTTCCTATAGACATGGAGGAGAACCTACTGAATTCTAAATGTGGTAAGAAGTGGAGAAACTTTCTCCCAGCTGTGTGCTATGAAATAAGACAGCTCACTGTCCTGATTTATAGACAAGATGTCTGGATATTATTTTCACTGCTAGTTACTGGAGTTTTTGGCCAAAGCACATCACGGTCTCCAGGTATTAAGTGTGTGCAGAGAGGGAGTATTCTTCCTACGTATTACATTTTTAGTACACCAGTAATCTTCTAAATAAATACTTCCCATGACTTGTTTTTTACAAGCATTTTATTTCTCTTCAATTTCAGTGAAGCACTGGAACAGGTTGCGCAGGGAAATTGTGGATGTCCCATCCCTGGAGATGTTCAAGGCCAGGCTGGATGAGGCTTTGGGCAACCTGAACTAGTGGAAGGTGTCCCTGCTCATGGCAGGGGGTTTGGAACTGGATGGTCTTTAAGGTCCTTTCCAATCCAAACTGTTCTGTGATTCTATGAATACTGCAGGCAGTATTATATTCCTTCTAGCTTTGTTTTGTTCATTCCATCCCCAAGACTGTTAATCCCATTTAAAAAGCAATCATTCTTTAGTCATATGGATTGTTTTGGCAGTCATATGTACCTACATACCTCAAAGGTAGTATCATGCAGTCCTTAGTTCACTGGTTTTATTGTTGTGTCTTGGCTCTGTTTATTCAGTGATTCAGGTAACCTCCTCAGTATCTTGAGGTGTTTGGATTTTTTTTCTTTTCTTCAAACTATAGGGAAGCATTTAAATTGTATCTGTTATTATATGTATAATTTATGGCTGTTGTATTTTATTTTTTTAATATCCATGTGATATGTGCTGTGCTCTGTTATTGAAAATTCTAGTGTCTTGATTCAGGCCAGAAGTTCTTGAGAACAGACTTTGTTTTATGTGCAAACCTACATGAATGTAGGTACCATTCCATAAGTAATGCACCATTTAATTACTTGAGCATATTATATTATTATTAAATACACAAGATCTGGCCACGTAAGTTTTGGTTTAAAAATGGCTTATGTGATGCTTAGTTCCCTTATAAAAATATATCCAACTTACTAGCTTGAAGGGCTAAGCAGCTGAAAGTATCGGATGCCTAATTATTGTTTGTAGAAAGGCAACAAGTGATGGGTATGCATCTGTTTGGAAAAAGTTTTCTACTAGTTGCTTGCAGTTCACTACATCATAATATTCTCTTTGTCACGGCTGATCAGACTTCCTGTTACTCAACAGTCAGCTAATCCAGACTTCAGTCATCAGGTTACCTGAACTTCTTTTGCATTTATTCCCATGCATCCATTATGTTAAATGATATGTGACCTTGGAACTTGCTGGGGACAAACTTAGCTGTAAGGATGCTCTTGAGACACTATGGAGAGTCATGACTGAAGTTATTCACCAGAGTTCCTCAGTACTAGACTCATAACTGCAGCAATTTGGAAATAACAGCTCATTTTGTTACTGATACATATGTATGCTGCAGATGTTAAAATTTCTGTTGGATTATTTTCTCTCTCGCCACTGCCTCATACCTTATTTGATGAGGATATTTATACTTTTCTAGCTGGGAACACTAGGAAGTTCCTTGGAAATTCTTTGCTTTTCTCTCAGGAAGAGTTCTTTTTAGTTAACTCTTTGGTTTTCCTTTGTATGTTTCAGGTTGTGATAAACAATGCAGCTGGAAACTTTATTTCCCCTTCTGAACGACTTTCTGCTAATGCATGGAGAACAATAACTGATATTGTGCTTAATGGTACTGCTTTTGTGACTCTGGAAATCGGAAAGGAGCTCATTAAAGCACAAAAAGGTATCTTAAGATAAATGGTAGCTAAGCATTGTGACATAGTATTATTCCTTGCTTTCCTTGCCTTACTATTATAATAGCCAGTTTTGAGAGTTTGAAAAGAAGCACAATTTTTAACATTCTACATCTTTTCTACAAAGAAACTTAATTTTCTGTAGAGCTGTACTTAAATATCACACAGTAGAACTGGCTAGCAATGACTTCATCACAGAATCTGCCCTTAAAATTGGATCCAGAGATTGAATATAAAAATGTGATTGCAGAGTTTGTACTAGTTGTAAAGCGTTTTTAAAATTTAAAAAATAAGGCTTTGCTTAAAATGTGCTGTTACTTCTTTTGAGTCTTCTATGTCTATATTGGTTTCACCAAGTGACTGAACATGTGGCATTTATTTAAATGAACAGCAAGTCAGGATATAACTTTGAATTTTCCTCCTACACTTAGATAAAATGCACAGCTGTGGTTTTTCACTGATAGGACTGGAGAGTATTACATTTTAGATAATTTGAAAAATAATTTCAAAATTGAAATCAGTATTGGGTTTTATTTTCCCTGGTGTAATTCTTAGTTCTAGACTACCTGGGAGTTTAATCCAATAGTTTAGTTTTACCTTAAAAGTAGGACAGTTCTTTGATATACTGTTTAGCCAAAGGTTTACTTCACCAAATTATTGTCTTTAAGGGAAAGCTAACGTATGCCCTGCTATATTATATCACATTATATACAAAGAACTGCTTTCATTTTACATTATATTTTAGTTATGAATTGAAAAATATTGAGCTTATTTTTTGATCGGGATGATATAATCTCAAATAGCGTTTAAAAGCAGTGAGATAGATTATGGTTTTCCATGTGCCCTCACGTCTGAATCCTGTTTTCTAAGTACAGCCAGTGTCTTGAAATAATCATTTGGTGTTTGCACTGTATTTCTCTAACTCCTGATTAAGTTAATTTCTTCAAAACTCCTCTCCAAAAAGTACTCAGTGGGTTTATACTATTTAATGATAACAATATAAAGTTAGTGTTCTTTCAGTAAGTCTGTAACAGGTTTGGTCAGTTGACAAGGTATTTCCCACATACATTTTATCAGCACATGAAGAAATCATTTCCACCATTCTAGTGCTAATATTCCCACATTAAAAACCCATTCCCAACTCTGACTTATTATATCATTGTAGCAAACTATCATAATAGTTTGCTTTATGGCCTTCCAAATGCATGCAATGTCTCCCTACAGTACTGTGAAATACGTCTTTAAAAATGCCTTTGTCTCTGCTGCTGTTGAATGAAAACTACTTTCCTTGCTTCCATCCTCCAATTTGGCTATATCCAGAAGACACTCACCTTCGTGTTGTCTCTCTTCCTTTCACTTCTAAGCTTCTAAAACACGTGAATTGCTTTTGCTATTACTTCTATGCCTTCTTTCTAGGGGATTCCATCTGTAAGACTTTTTTTAAGGCTGTCTTTAAGACACATTTTTACAAGTAAATCAAGTGTACCTGTTTGTCCTCACGTTCTCCACCTTCATTTTCTTTTTACTTGTTTTTTTTAAGTTTAAACAGTTTGAAGTGATGGAGATGCTACGCAGTGCAAATACTTTAGGATGGTCCGTGGGTGTGCTATACATCTGACAGTTACTGGAACACTGGCACATCCTTTAGGTCTGCAGCGTGACCTATGCTAAACCTAGTTTAGTAAATAATAGAAGTGCTCTGCTTTTAGTTTCTTAAGTTTGTACTGGTTTTTAAAAGGGATTTGTAATCTGCTAGAGCATTATTTATTTATGCACTACCATTTTACAGAATGAGAGGAGTTAATTGGTTAGATATTGTCCATTTTATGAATATAGGCTTTAGAAATAAAAATTGTATGTGAACTGAAGTGGACTTTAAACTTCAGAGCTGTAAATTTATCAGCTTCTGTGTTAGGTTCACTCAACTCACTTCTAACCTGTATTTTAAAAAATCTGTGGTTTAAATCTGCAAAAAGTATATTTAGCAATCAACTCTAGATAAATTCAGAGTTGCTCTGTGTTTTTTGCCTGTGTTGATTTTTCTTTTCAAATTCTCTCACTGTAGACTACTTTTTTATAATTAGGATCCATGGTTTCTGGATATCTGCTGGCATTTCTGTCAGTGTTTGTTTATGGTTCTCTTTAGTTTCTCTTGTGTAACATTACTGTAATTTTTAAACAGTCTCTACTTCATTGTCACATACATTCTATCAATAATGTATATTGTTTTAGAAATATCCCTTGGGTAGCTATTCTAATTAAAGTATTTTTAAAATATGGTAAGTAGAACAGTTATTTTAGTTACTGTGGCATAACTAGTGAACTGTCGTCCCTTGTCTGATCCGTGACTAGCATGAACTTACTGTAGGACAGTTAGAATTTGCAGGCTTCTATAAAAGAAAGACTAAATCAACAGTTGCAGTTTCCATTATTTTCCATAATGTTTTTGCTAAAACTGCTATAAAATGTAACATATAAGAGAAATTGGTCTTTTTATAGTACAGTTTGTTGTGATAATAATGGTAAAAACATATGTAGGTTGACTTTGTAATAAGCACTACTGCAGAAGAAGCTTCTGAAAATTTCTTAAAAAACCTCTTTTTTTTTTTTCCTGCATGAACTTTAACTCGAGCCCTAAACAGCGTAATTTTAAGATTATGCCAGACCTAATTGTTAATGCTGATTTTTGAATTTTTTTTTTTTTTTTTTTTTTTTTTTTTTTTTTTTTTTTTACGTCCAGGAATTGATGAAATTAGGGCAAATTACCTGGTGAGTGACTGCTAGACTAGGACAGCTTCTGAAAAGACACTGTAAGATCTTAGGCCTTCATTCCAATTAGACTGATTTGCACATGTGAATTCATTATCAGTAGAAGTCTGAGAATTTAGACGTTTTGAGCCTAATCAATAGCTATTTACACTTACATGGAACAACTCAAGGAAAAGAGGGAACTGAAATAAAAAGCCTTGATAGCAAAGCTTCCAAGACCAGATTTTTAAAATATCTTTTCACAACCCAGAGTGAAATGGCATCCCTTAACACTTGAGGGGCAAAATTCTGTACCACTGAGGTTGCTTCTACCTTAAGTTCAGAGTTTGATCTTCATGCATTTTTGTTTGGTGTGTGTTTTGGTTTTTTTTTTTTAATGTTTTTGCAACTTCCAGGAGCAGCATTCCTGTCTATTACAACAATTTATGCAGAGAGTGGTTCAGGATTTGTGTTGCCAAGTGCCTCTGCCAAAGCTGGTGTAGAAGCAATGAGCAAGTGAGTAACATAGCAATATGCATGTTCTGCTTTTGACGTCCTTGAGGTAGGGTAATTGGTCTATAAAAATGGAGCTAGTTGGTGTAGTCCTCCTGTTCTGTTGTACCATAAGAGAACCTTCCAGCCTCCAGTATCCTAGCAAGAAAATAGTATGCTGACAGCTTCTTACAGAACAAAGTATTACTGCTATTGTGGTGATTTTTGTCGCAAGGACAAGTGGATGTTTTTTGTCACAATGATGAGATAAGGACAAGTGGATCTACTGCTTTTGGCAATAGCAAATTGTAAAGTTTCAGTTGCAGACTTTCGATAATAAGATTCTCTTGCATTCTCATAGGTGAACCAGCACTTAGACAGTTATTAGGGGAACAATTCAAGGTCTACAGTGTCTTCCACTTTCTTTTGTCTCAGGAAAAGATGTGCTTATATTTGGGTGGAGTATACTGTTGCTTCACCTATCTAGTTTCATAAAGAAATGTGTTTCTGATCACTATTTTAAATTAAGGTCTGCAGTTATACTTAATTCACATCATGTATCCATGTTACTGAGCAAGTAAAAGGATTTCTGTCCTTATTAACTACAGGACAGTCCTTCATAGAAAAAAAGATCATCCTCTTCACTTTGGTAGAAGGAGTTGAATAGTTTGGCAGCCTTTTAATAACTAGAATTCTTTATCTGGAGAAAAATGAGTAATGGTCTTGATTTCTGTTCTGTAGAGCTGTAACTTGTGTATACTTTTCAGAGACTTCATGACCCAGCTGATTCATTCACTGTAGTAGGTGATCTCTCTGAAATACTGCTTATGGAGAGAAAATGTTGCCATAAAGCAAAATTATTCTACTGGTCCCACTTTACAATGTGACCTCTGTTTTGTGTTGTTTCAAAACATCTAATATGAGAGCTATGTTGGAAATGTTAGAAATGTATACTTGTGGGATAGTCTAAATTGCCAGAGAAGGATGGTGGCCTAACAGTTGTTTATCAAGGAGTTTAGGTGTATGGTTTGTGAAGGACAAAGAATTACTCCTTATCGCTGTTTTGTCTTTGATGCATATGTTAAATCAATATTCCTCAGTTTGTGAATGTGAATTTTTCTTCTCTGAAATGTTTTTGTTAAGAATCAAAAACCGTTCAAGTAGAAATGCATGTTTCAGGAAAAATCTAGTCTTTACATATTTGTTTCATTCAGTTTTAAATATTTTATTTTTTTGCTAAACAGCATTATTAAAATATTGAGTTTAAAATATTGATGTATTCTGTTAATGAATTTTTAGGTCTCTTGCGGCTGAATGGGGTAGATATGGCATGAGATTCAATGTGATTCAACCAGGTCCAATAAAAACAAAGGTACATAAACTGAAGTGAAACACAGCCTTGAATAAGCTTTGTAGTACAGGCTTAACGGTAAGGCAGTCTAATTTTTTCTGTAACTGTTAAATTCAGGAATGATTTCCTTGGTAGTAAAGACTGTTGGAATATTGAACACGCTACCTCCCAATTCTTTTGTAAAATAGAATTTCTTGAACTTCTGAAACATGCCAACTGCCCCTTCTGCTACACTAATATAAATGGAACCTTTTTTTAGTGTTTCAAAGAAATGATATATCAAAATATTAAATGTTTATTTGTATCAACTATGTACCTAATTTGTCAAGTGAAGTGAATGTCAAGTCAGATTTCTGTTGGATTTTAATTTCTGATTTAGTTATATAACATTTATTTAAAAAAATAAAAAAAGTTTCTGTTAATTCTCAGGGTGCTTTTAGCCGCCTGGATCCAACAGGCGCATTTGAGAAGAAAATCATTGAGAGGATTCCCTGTGGTCGTCTGGGAACTTTAGAAGAAATTGCAAATCTTGCTGCCTATTTCTGCAGTGACTATGCAAGCTGGGTTAATGGAGCAGTGAGTTTTGATTGATCTTGTTTGTACAGTTAACCTGATGATGGTCTGAGTTTTGCTAACCTTTTAATTGTAATGCATGATAAAGTACCTTTAAAAAGAACTTTTAAAAGTGATAGAATGACATTATTTTGGGCATGGGTTTTTCTGATCCAAATCAGTAATGTTACTTTCACAATTCATAACAAGGGAATGCTACAGTATACTCACTATTATTACACTACTTGCTTTTTCTAGGTTATTAGAATGGATGGTGGAGAATATGTTTCTATGGCAGGAGAATTCAATGACTTGAAGACGGTATGAAATTTCTTGCTTGATATTTTACGTTCAGATATTCTAGGTGTGTAATCATTATATGGAACTCCAATAAAACACTGTTTTCTTTTATTAGGTTACCAAAGAGCAGTGGGATACAATGGAAGCAATGATTAGAAAAACAAAAGGCTCTTAGGATATAACGGCATGGTAGAGATTTTTGGAAATGACCCACTGCTTTTTCAAGAACATTTAAAAATAACCAACTGAGAAATAGCCTTCAAAATATTTTGTATGCTAATTTCAATAAAATATTTTGAAATTGTTGTATTTTGTGTATAGCATGTATATTTTTCTTACCAACAATCTAATCTGTTGCCAACAGTGAACAACAGTTGTTCACTGAAAATTTATTGTTCTTTAGATTATGTCTTAGATAGCCATGCTGTGGTCTACAATTAGCTTTTTTTGGTTTTAAATTTCAGAGGATTTTTTTTATTTCTCAAATATATGCAAGTATCTCTTAATATTGTAATTCCAATAGCATTTCAGGACTATCATAACTGAATATAATTATTAATCTGTGGAAAAACTAAGAAATTCAGTCCTAATCTTCACACTGTAGTCCTAACTTGAAAATAAAAAAGTTTCGAATTATCAGCAGGACTACATAACTCTGAGATAGGATGTAACTCCTGTGGTTACTTACAAAATCTTGAAATATGTAACAGTCTTGGTCTCATCTTTAGCTGACATTTTCAGTCTGTTCATTATCTTGTGCTGAACTTTAAATATGGCATTTAAGGACTAGCAGTGCCTTTCTAAGGAGTTCAGTCTTTGTCATGACTAAGTTAATGTTCTTGAAAATGAGAAACTAAACATCATTTGCTGTTAATGTGTGTGTGACTAGGGGAGATTCTCCATAAAAAATCGTTTACTTAAGACTAGTAAAGGACATCAGTACATGGGGAATAAAAGTGTTGAAACCTCATTGACTGAGGTTTAGAGAAATCCCTAGGTTTCATTTGCATTCACAGGCTGGTACTAAGGAAGCTTTAAGAAGGCATTACCTCTGAGTCTAGTCAGTTTATCCATCCCAAATAAGGAGGTGATTAAAAAAAACCCAAAAAACACCAACACAAGCAAAACCAAACAAACATTGTTTATTGCTGTCCCTCTTTTAGTATTATTACATTTTCCAGATTAGGGAGTTGGCAGTTGTTTGTCCCCCCTGCTTCAAACAATGGATGGAATTCTTCAAAGAAATTAACAGGCGCTGGCCTTTACATCCTGAAATCCATGCCTTTTTTCTTTCTTTTTTTTTTTTTTTTTTAAATTGTTTAACCTGAGCTCGAGACTGTCCACACATACGAGCACAGACTTAGCTGTATCTGCTTTGAAATAGATACAGTGGTTTAAGAGTCAGGAATATAGAAGTAATTCAAGGATGCCTTCCTTCAAGCGCTGGCATTGGTCTTGTCACTTTACCCACACCTCAGGCCAAATGTACATATGCCAGCATCTGACTTTGAAATAATTTGATTGCCTTAATACAAAGCTGAAGCAAGCTAGTACATGTTCTGCTGAAAGGGTGGACTGTGTTAGTGGAGGCTTACACATACCAGCTTTCTCCTGAGAGTGATGGTCCTGTGGAGGACTGAATGGCATGTGTGCCATTGATAATAAAACAAAGCAAATGTGTTTATCATAGCAGCCTTCAAGGTGTCTCGAACAAAATGTAAAGCTTTTTTATAGCGTCTTGGCTTTTGGTAGATCTACTGTCAAGATCAAATTATGACATGATATCCATGTCTTTTCCCCAGAAAGTGATTTAATTGAGAAGTTAGGCCCATATATGCTGTTCTTTGTTCATTGCCCTTTTCATATACTTATATTTTCTCTTTGTATGGGACACAGTTGCATCTGAGGCTTTGACACTTGAAAAAAAAAAAAAGTGTTTTCTGAAAAATTCAAAGGTATGTTTGTGAACTGTGATATAATCAAGTATTTCTCTGTGGTATTTAGTAGAATATCCGCTGGAGATGGGCTATCAATAAAAATAAGTTCCTGCTGGTCTTTTGCATCCATGGGTGTGTATGACTTTTACTATAGAAGTTTGTCATGAAGTACTGGACTGAGATTGGAGATAACCATGTTCAGTCTCCAAAACTGTCATCGACTTTGTGTGACCTTAAGTTATTTCTGTTGCATCTGAACAGCAGGGTGGGTACACTTTGCAGCATTCCCACAGGAATTTCCTTCGTTAAAAAAGTTGTTAGACTTGTTAGGGACAGGAGAAGAACATTACTATGAAGAGATGAATCTTGAACGTCTCAAGTTTATGTTTTCCCTAAATACAATTTAATTGTGTGTTACTGAAGTAGCAATACATGACATCAAACATCAGAGCCTCAGGAAAAGGACAAGAGAAAGTAGCATTATAGTGACTACCTAACCCAGGTGATGTCTGCCTTGGCTTGGTAATTCCAAAAGAACCTGTTCCTAAATGCCCACAAGGACGAGACTGTCCTGAAAGAGGCTTAAAATACCCCCAAATCCCAAGAGGTCCCCAAGCCAGAAGCATGCTCTGCCACTGTATATTGTGCACACTTATCACAGACCAACATAAAGCATGGTCATCACAGCTACTTTATTCCAGATGTAGCAAAAGTGGTAGGAGGTGGTATCCACATGAAGAGCACTGTCTTATGCTGGTATATTTGCCCTGAGATTGTTACATTCCTGACCCTACCTCAGATTGCCAGTGAGCCACAATGTAAAGGGGAGTATGAAAAAAATATTGCTTTGTGGTGTAATAATTTCATGGAGATGAAGATGGAGGGACAGGAAAGTGGAGGAATGAGTCAGAAAAGGTGATGGTATGCATTGAAGATCGTGAAAGGAGTCGGTGGGGTTTCAGAGGCCATTTAATTTGCATGGATCACAAGGAAAACTTCCCTGGACTCCAAATACCTTTTAAAAAGTGACTTGTGCATGACCCGTCGGTCATGGGTTATCACTTCCATGTTATCACTTCCATGAACTCTGAGACACTCACAAAGGAGGATTCATTGTCTGTTTTCAACTGATTAAATCTTGAAATTACCCTTTTTATTTCAATTGATGATTTACTGTCTTTGAATCTGTTAACATTTCTTAGCTTAATTCTATGCTGTGAAAGTGGTATTGTATTATAGTAGAGGCTTATAAACAAGTTATGAAAATAATTTCAGGTTGTAAATGAAAGAGATTAGTTGTATTATCTCTTCCCTATGATACCAGGACTGCTGTCAGTCTTTGGTTCTCCTATTTCTGTGAGCTCCCTCCTCTTGAATATTTCAGTACTGTTGAGAATATTGCTGTCCATACTGGCTTCCAAGTTCATTGGCACCTGAACTGCTCATTTATCTTTACTTTTTTTACCATGCTGATAACATGTAAGTAAAGATGCTGAATTGCAAGGAAATTTGTACCTTTATCTAACTCCATGGAGTGTCTTGTGTTATAGCTGCTAAACATGTAACCCCACTTTAACCAAGGTAAAACCCCAAATCTTTTATGTGATAATTTAATATGCAGTAAAATTAAATGATCTTTGGGATTTCGGTGCACTGGTCTGCGTTTAATTGGTGCAGAACAACTTCAGGTGATTTCAGAGGGACATCTCTGGAGGTTCTCAGCACTTGAGAAAATCGGGCCACATAATTTGGGTGCCTAAATATTGGTTCTGAGCATCCTCATAGACACAGCAAGTAGGTGTGGACTTCAGTATGCCTCAACAGCCAGTGATTATATCCAAGATTATGATGAGGTCTTAGGCACAAGATGCCAAACGGAAGTTAATTTTAAAAAGCTAACATTTACTGAAAGTCTTAATCCTAATTTAAGAGGAGTTAAGCAGCAGTGTGTGCATATCTTGTGAGGCGAGATTCATTTTACTTATTTACGTAAAGGGAATATTAGAGCAGTGCTATGAGACTGTGCAGGAGCTGCTGAGGATAGAACGGTCCAGCAGCAAACAAAAGCCAGATTACTCTCTTCAAGGCCCGTGTTCAATCCTCATTAAATTCTTGGCAAAAATAAGCATGATATTCTCTGTAACGGGCAGTGGTGTGTATCCTGGCTGCCAGCTGGGTGGTGTTGGTGATTTTGGATTGGGTGAGACCCTGGGGTAGACTGATGGACTGGAAGGAAGCACTCACTCTGCTTCGCCTGAAACTGTTAAGGGTTATGTCTGTCAACAAATACTACATTTACAATGCCAGAGGCTTTAAAGGACCTAATTGTTAGTGGATTTCTTTTTCTTCTCTAAGAACTAGTGAATATTTGCTGCTTTGTGTTTTAAAATTAATAGAAAATCACCTTCTTACTTGGTTTGAATAGCAAGAATTGTGGTGGGTTTTCATCTGTGCACATTTACACTAGAATGGGCTAAAATTTTGCACAGCGTACTTGTTTGCAGTTTGTAGGACTCAGTATTTGTTAGCTTGAGTGCTTATTAGTTTGAGTATTTATTTAAATATATGTTTTTAGACAGTAAAATGGTTAACAACGTCAGTAAAGTAGATCCTGTCAGCCAGTTTCTCTGTTTAGCAGGAATACGGCATACCCACGCTACCTCATGTAATTCATTTTTGTGTATGCCACTATTTTATTTTCAACCTTTTTTTTTTTGGTCACCAAATGTCTAACCGAAGAAAGACGTTTGCAGTCTTCCCTATCATCACCTCTCTATTGTCCCAAGCCTCATTCTACCCCAGCCCTGACATTTTCAAGATCTCTGCCCATGAGTTTTTGAGAGATTTTAAAACCTGGACTTTTTACAGCAGTTTTGACTTTCCCATATTTGCTGCCTTTTGCTTTGCACTGACATGGTAGACACCTTTGCTTCAGAACAGATAGATCTGTGGCAGGTAACTTTACCCATGTTCGGGAAGAGAGATTCCAGTTTCTGTGATGACTTTTTGTCAAAACACTTCAAATACTCGATCTTTCGCTGTAACAGTTTTGGCACACAGTCACATCATATTTTTACATACAAGTTTTGGGGTTTTTTTCTTTACACTTTTAAAATGTTTAAATAAGGCAAAACCAGGCTTTCAAGTGCACAGGATGAACAATATCAATCATTTATTGTACTGATAGGCAGATTCACTGTTCCTTCATGTAACATACACAGTTGTATTTCACATTGCATAGAGAAAAGAGGAGAACAAGCCAGCAAGAAGCTAAATCACTGTGCGTGGAGTGGGAGTAAAGCAGTGAGAATGAGCTAGCTTAATCTTACTTCAATTTTTTTTGTGGCATTTTTCAGCAAGGCCCCATC